CTCAGATTCGAAGTCTGGTGTGCTATTGGTTGAAGATCTGTCTAGTACGTTGACCTACAGCAAACTAATGGCTACATCCGCGGGCTTACTGTTTCTTCACTTAGAGCTGGCTCGGATTGCAAGCTCCGAAATATCTAAGTTGTTGTTCACTAATGCAGTAGCTGACTCCACACGCTGACCAGGTGCGATAGCCTTCCTGTAACAAGTGACTATGTCGCCAGAAAATCTCCAAAGTCTATTCCCTAACAAGGACGATAACTCGACTATCACCATGGCACACGAAATTCTTTCTAGTGTAATTCCTACCGACAGTGGCCGGATGACGTATCTGACTACGCTCTCATCTGCCCTGTTCGCACGCTCGTTTCATACGCATGACCCGAAAGACCTCAATGACGCCATCTCTGCGGCGCGCGAGGCCATCTCTATCTCCCCTCCTTCAGACGAAGGCAGCGCGGTGCTGCAGCACACTCTTGCCGAGTCACTCCTCTGTCTATTCAAGCTCACTGGCCAGCCGGCCGATATGCAAGAGGCTGTGTCCCTTCACCGCAAAGCGCTCCTCCTTCGTCCTCCCGGTCATGCTGATCGCTACTATTCCATGCTATCGCTTGCGAAAGCACTGCATACCCAGTTCTGCCACACCGGTGAATCCCAGGATTTGGTCGACTCTATCGAGAACGGCTGCCTTGCCCTTTTCCTTTTTGACCCCAGCCGTCACGACCGGCCCACCCTTCTCATCACCCTCGCTGCACCGCTGTTCAGCAGCTTCAGGCAAACAAGCTTATCTTCCGATTTGGATCGGTGCATCGAGTACACTCAAGAAGCTGTCGATTGCTGTCCCCCGGAGTCATCAGCCCGGCCTGCGTCACTAGACATTCTCTCGCGATCATTGCTCTCTCGGTATGAGAATCGAGGCGAACCTGCTGATTTAGAGGCAGCAATCGGATATGGGCTACAAGGTGTTGTGTTGTGCCTTCCGGGACATCTCTGCCGTCTTCAAGCTCTCGGGACTTTAGCTGCTGGGCTTCTGGCTCGATTTGAGCGCACCGGAAAGCCGGGAGACCTGGAACGTTCGGTCACCTTGTCCTACGCGGCCCTCTCTCTCTGTAGCCTAATAGAGCACGCTAATCTGGTACTCGACACCCTTGTTCCCGCGCTCATTGCTCGCTTTACACAAGAAGGGCGAGAAGACGACCTCGAGGCAGGAATTGAATACGGCGACATAGCGCTCGCGCTTCATCAAGTGGATCATCCTGACTATCCGCGTTCGCTGGTCAACCTTGCTGTCGGGAAATGGACTCGATTTGTGTTCGCGGGCAGGCAGGAAGACATAGAAGACAGCGTTGGTTCTCTTCGCAAAGCTATCCAGCTTCTACCATTCGGGTCCACCATCCGTGCGGTAGCCCTCAGCAGGCTTGCAGATGCCACGCGTTACCGCTTCATATCATGCGGAGCTCTCGAGGACCTTGAGGAAAGTGTAGCACGCGGGCAGGAAGCTTTGTCTGCTTGCGGTTCATGCGCAACAAGCTATGTCATGGTACTCAACAGCTTGGCCTCCTCGCTCGGTCGGCGCTTCGGACACACTGGAGAGGAAGAAGACTTCGCCTTGTCAATGAAATACTTCGTAGAAGGCCGCGCACGTTCCACGGCTCGAGCACCAATAAATATCAGCTTGGATGTCGGATTCATATCACTCTCCCTCGACGTTACTCCCCAGAGTGGCATTTGGTATTCAATGCTGCATATCTTCACCGCAGGGGAACAGGCGGTACTCAGTGCTTGCTCTGCAAAGAACCTTCATCGCCCTTCCTTTCTGAGTGTCCTTGCTTCTGTTGCTCTTTTGCGATACGAAGAAAGTGAAAGTCTGGAGGATCTGGAGAAAGTCTTCGCCTTCGCACAAGAGGGGCTTTCCTTATGCTCCCTGGGATCTATTGTCCGCCCCGAGCTGCTCCTCCACTTAGCAAATGCTCTCCATAATCAGTACACCAGAGACGAAGACTCACACGATCTCACCCAATGCATAGATACCGCCTATGCCGCTCTGTCACTTTGCTCATCTACCCACCCTCGTTATCACACAATACTAGCCCAGCTTGGGGAAGCTTTCAGTCATCGTTTTAAGCAGACACGAGATCCGGAGGATGAGATGAAATCTATCACATACCTTCAAGATGCTTTTGCCCGCTGTCCACCCAAATCTCCCCTTCGTATACAACTCGTTGAAAAACTGGTATTTTTTTCCACCGAACGAAAGGACCGGACGAAGAAGATAGATGATATAGAGAGGGCTATCCACATTTTTCAGCAGGCCCTTCCCTTCTATCCCCCTGCACAGCCTGAGCGTGGGCCTATCCTGGCTCTTTTGGCAGGGGGATTACGCGAACGCTTCGACACAAGCAAAAATCTGCACGACCTAGACAAGTCTATTGAGTATTCTCATGAAGCTCTGTCCTGCTACAGGCCGA